TGACAAAGGGCTAACAGACCAGAACCTACAAAGAACCAAACAAATTTCAAAGAAAAAAAGCAACCACATCAAAAAGTGGGCAAAAACGGATATGAACAGACACTTCCCAAAAAAGACATTTCATACAGCCAAACAGACACATGAAAAAATGCTCATCATCACTCGCGCTATCAGAGGAAATGGCAAGTTGAAACACAATGAGATAACCATCTATCACAGCAGTTAGAATGGTAATCATTTAAAAAATCAGAACCAACAGGCTGCTGGAAAGGATGATGGAGAAACAGAACACTTTTACACTGTTTGGTGACTGTAAAACTAGTTCAACCACAGTGGAAACAGTGTGGCGATTCCTCCAAGGATTTTAGAACTAAAGAAATACCTTTGACCCAGTATCCCATGTACTGAGGGGATTACCCAGGAAGGATTATAAATCAATGCCTGCTGATAAAGGACCACATGGCACACGTATGTTTATTGCAGCACTATTCACAATAGCAAAGACTTGGAATCAGCCCAAATGTCCATCAGTGACAGATTGGATTAAGAAAATGTGGCACACATATATCATGGAATATTATGCAGCCATAAAAAAGGATGAGCTCGAGTCCTTTGTAAGTACATGGATGCAGCTGGAAACCATCATTCTCAGCAAACTATTACAAGAACAGAAAACCAAACATCGCATGTTCTCTCTCATAGGTGAGAATTGAACAGTGAGATCACTTGGACACAGGAAGGGGAACATCACACACCAGGACCTATTGTGGGGATGGGGGAGGAGGGAGGGATAGTATTAGGAGATATACCTAATGTAAATGATGAGTTAACGGGTGCAGCACACCAACATGGCACATGTATACATATGTTACAAACCTGCACGTTGTGCACATGTACTCTAGAACTTAAAGTATAATAATAATTTAAAAAAAAAAAAAAAAGAACAACACTCTCGGATTACTGGGAAGAAAAAAAACAATTTACCATTTCTAGTGAGCATAAGGCAGTCTAAGTGTCTATGAGGATAACATAATGGATATAATAACGCCTCCATAATCAAGCTTATTATAATCTAATGTAAGATATGTTTATCAATAACAACAAAAGCAACACAAAATAATTTATAGAAAGAAAAAAAATAAGTGGCTTCTCAGTATCACTGAAATTTGGGCGATGTCGGAAAGGCCAAATGGATCTTGTAATTTTTCTTACAATTATTAAATTAATTTGTCATTAATAGGCTTACAAAAAATTCAAATTTAAAATAAGAATCTTACTTTCAGGTGTTTTTTTCTGCCATTGACTGAGTTCAGCGGTTAAACATTTTACCTGCATAATTAATAATGATAGCTACAAAAGAAGAAAACAAAGTCATATTCTGTGGACTATTCATAGCTATACATAGATGAAAATATAAACATTCTTAATACTTTAATACTCTGCAAGGGGTTGGCATTCCTAACTCTCATGCTGCTCGAGGCAATTTTAATTTTTAATCTGTTTCACTGATCCACTGATCTATTCCTAAAGCAATTCCATAATTCTGATTATTATAATGAATATCTTAGTCCTTTTTGTAGGCCAAGAGTAAAATCTATTCAGATTCGACACATATAGTAATATATCTGTGACTATTATACCTAACACAAAGTTAGCAGTCTTTGTTCTAATACTTTTTTTTTTTTTGAGACAGTCTTGCTCTTTCACCCAGGCTGGAGTGTAATGGCGCAATCTCAACTCACTGCAACCTCAGTCTCCTGGGTTCAACTGATTCTCGTGCCTCAGCCTCCTGAGTAGCTGGGATCATATGACCACACCACCAAGACCAGCTAATTTTTTTGCATTTTGGTAATGACGGGGTTTTGCCATGTAGGCTAGACTGGTCTTCCTTCTAATTTTAATAAGGTAGCAAAATAGCAACCAACAAGCAATTTACTCAGTTGTTAAATATATGTATAGCTGCTAAAAGACAAATAATAAAAAAAAAACCTCTTATTTATAATAGCTTGTTCTAGAAAGTTTTTAGAATATTCTCCCAACTCTTAAAGCAAGAAGAGTGAGAAGTTTTCCAAATGATTAAGCATACAGGTATTAACAAAGCTATTAAACTTGAGAAAAATATAGACAGATATATTTCTTTTCCAAAATACAATGAATTCCACTTACCTTGTATTTTTTAGGCAGAAATAGAAGATTCATACCTGAGCATTTGAATCAGTGAGTGTTTCGGTTCCAGTAAGTGATAATTTATTCTGACACTTGATTTAAAAAGTAAAAAAAAGCAAGTCACACACGATAACTCACAGAAAATTCCCTTCCCCTCCTCCTTTGTACCAGGCCAATATAACACTTCTAAACCACAAACTTTTGATGGAGAAGAGTTTGTTGAAATTCTTCACTTTGTAAGTAGGACGATTAAGGCAGCCAAACAAGTCCCAAGGTGAATACATCACAAGTAAAAAGAGACACTAGAATGAAGAGGGAAAAAAAAAAAAAAAAAACCCAAAAACTAATAGCTAGAATGAATTATAAGTCAGATAACTGGAAGTGGGAGATTAAAAAATATGAGGGATAGCACTATAGAAAAATAACAAGTAAGAAAATAGTAAAGATCCTAAGAAATCCTAAGAAAATAAAGCCTTCAGGAGACATTGTTTCTGTGCCATTAAAAAAGTACAAAACTGTTCATGATAATTATATGAGATAAAAATATGAATAAATTCTATTTCTGCTCATTTGTAGTGCAGCATTTCTCTATACAAATTTTAAGTAATTTTAAAATCCAAATTTTTATACTGAAAAAATACCTGAAGCAAAAAATAAAAGGTGGGAGGATTATAAAAATTATCCTGAAAATATATTAATAATACAAAATACTAAGTATTTATATTAAAAATAATTGTAAGAAAAGAGAAAAACCTCACTAATTTGCCCAATTCTGAAACTTTACTGGGAAGAATAAGATGCTGAAAATATCTGTGCCCTATCTTTTGGCTTCCCTGGGCTACACTGGAAAAAGAATTGTCTTGGGCCACACACAAAATACATTACAATAGCTGATGAGCAAAAAAAAAAAAAAAAGGAATCCATAATGCTTTCAGAAAGTTTCTGTCGGGCTGCATTCGCAGCCATCCTGGGCCACGCGTTGGACAAGCTTGCTTTAAGTAGAACAAATTTTCACCAACATATTCTAGTGTACCAAAGGCAGTTCTATCTCACCAACTTCGAAAAGGTACATACATTTCAAACAACATTTTCTAAATTAATTTATGTTTTCACTCATAATTATGTGTTCTTCCCACTTCTATATTCTCTATTTGGGGAAATAATCCCATCAACCACCCAATGACCCAAACCAGGAACCTAAAACTAACCATATATCCCTTCCATTGCACATCAATTAACTTCTAATCCTACTTACTTATCTCTTGAATCCACTCTTCTATTTGCAATGACAATACTTAGGGCTTCCTTACTTTTTTACCAGGACTATTACTTGAGCTTCCTAAATGCTTTCTATCTGTAGTCTTACTCTTCTGCATTTGATTTTCTTCAAAAACACCAGACTAATTTTCCCAAACTGCATATCTGATCATGTCACTTCCATACTTAAAATCCTTTAGTGGCTCCCCATTAGTACACACTCAACAAAATCCTTTATGTTCTTGCCCCTGATTACTTCTCCATTCTTACCCTAGAAGTCCTTCTCCTAATGTACATTATACATAATATTCTATTTAGTGTTCTGTCAACTCTCTCAGCTTTTACACATTTTCTTCTTCATGCTTTGTATACTACTTCTACTTTTACAGGCTAACTACTAATTATTCTTTAGAAACGAAATCAGTAATTACTTTTTCTTTTTTTTTTTTGGGACAGAGTCTCACTCCACTGTCACCAGGCTAGAGTGCAGTGGCATTACCTTGGCTCACTGCAACGTCCGCCTCCCGGGTTCAAGCGATTCTCCTATCTCAGCCACCCGAGTAGCTGAGACTACAGGCATGCACCACCACGCCCAGCTAATTTGTGTATTTTTAGCAGAGACGGGGTTTCACCATGTTGGCCAGGATGGTCTCGATCTCTTTACCTCATGATCCCCCAGCCTTGGCCTCCCAAAGTGCTGGGATTACGGGTGTGAGCCACCGCACCTATCCCAGTAATTACCTCTTTTAAAAAGCTATCCTTGACCCCTTCATCTGGGTTTAGGACTTCTCCTAAGCACAGTCTTTGTACTTCTATAATACATCTAATATTGTACTACAACATAATATAATGGCTGTTGTTTCCATAAGATGGTAATCTCCTTGGGAGCATGGATTGCCAAAATTTTTCTTTCTATAGCTTATCTAGTGTAAAGTTTCTTGAATGAATGCTTATAGGTCTAAAAGCTATATAAATATTTATCATACATAATGGCTTTTGGAAACTAGCACAACAATCATTTCTTTCCTGAGTCTAATATTGAAGTTGATTTACATCTTATATTAATTATCACTTCTATTTTTTGATACATACTTCTTCCATATCTTTCCACATTTCTTCACATTCTCTAATAAGTTCTTCTTCAGTATTTGTAACATCTCCCACATCTGTAGTACTATCTGGATCTAGATCTTGTTGATTCATTGATATGTGCTTTGCGATTTTTTAGCTGTAGAAGAAAAACTAAAGCAAAAAATATTTATTCATTCAGCAGTATTGGTTGAACACTTATTACCTGCCAGATACTCATCTAGGGGATAAGAATACAGCAACGAACAAAACAGACAAAAATTCCTCCTACCGTGAACCTTATTCTAAATAAGGAAAACAGACAACAAAATAAAAAATAGAACATATATATACTGTAGTATATAAAATGATTTATAAGTGCCATGGAGAAAAGACAGGGAAGAAACACAGGGAATGCTAGGGCAAGGACAATATAATTTTAAATAAGGTGGTGATATAAGGTTACTGAGAAATTGACAACTGAGTAAGAAGACATGAAGAAGATAAAGAAATGAAGTACAGGGATGAACAGGGGCAGAGGGTCCAGGCAGAGGGAACTGCAAGTGCAAAGGCCTTGAGGCAGGAATATGACTGTCATGTTTCCACAGTAATGAAGGAGCTGATGTGATTACAGCAGATTAAGTAAGACAGAGTTGAATATGAGGTCAGAGAGACAATAGGGATGAGATCATGTGGGCTTGGTAGGCTATTTTAAGGACTTTGAGATGATAAGCAATTAGTTTCAAACAGAGGAATTAATCATTTGAATTACATTTTAACAGTACAACTCTGGTTAACTATAGGCAGTAAGGACAGAAACAAGAAAACCAATTAGAAAGTTACTGCAATGACCCAAGCAAGATGTAGGCCAGGATAATACTGATAGAAGCAGCACTGAATGTCCAATTCTGGATATATTTTCAAGACGGAGCCAACAGAATATCTTAACAGCACGTACATGGACTGTCAAAGAGAGAAGTAAATTATCACGTTGCCAGTTACTGAGGTGAGAAAGATGGTAAAAGACAGATTCGGCAAACATGGGAGAAGTGCTGATTAAAAACTCAGTTTAGGATATGCTACATTTGAGGTGTCAATTATTGGAGCTGCAAATTAAGCAATTAGAGATACATGTCTGCAGTTGAAAGGAAAGTTTTGAGCTATAAATATGAATTTGACAGCCATGATAACATAGGTAAGAGTTACACATTACATAATGACATTTTGGTCAATCACAGACCCGCACATACAACAGTGGTTCCAACGGAGCTGAAAAATTCCTATTGCCTACTGAGGTCTTGACGATCCTCACCCTGCCTTAGGCCTAGGCTAATGTGTGTCTTCGTCCTTAACAAAGAAACTTAAAAAGTAAAAAATAAAAATATATAAATTGGCTAGAAAAAAAAGACATAAAGAAAACATGCCAGGTGCAGTAACTTACACCTGTAATCACACCACTTTGGGAGGCCAAGGTGGTAGGATCACTTGAGTCCAGGAGTTCCAGAATAGCCTGGCAACAAAGTGAGACCCCCTTCTCTAAAAGAAAATTTAAAAATTAGCTTGGTGAGGTGGCACAGTCCTGTAGTCCTAGCTGCTCAGGAGACAGGGGCAGGAAGATCACTTGAGCCAAGGAGTTCAAGGTTATAGTAAGCTATGATCACACCACTGCATTTCAGTCTGGGTGACAGAGACAAACTCTGTCTCTAAATTAGAAAATAAAAAAAGAAAGCAAATATTGTTGCACAGTTATGCAACATGTTTATGTTTTAAGCTGTTATTACGAAAGAGTTGAAATGTTAAAAAATTAAAAAGATAAAGCAAAAAACTTACAGCAAACTAAGGTTAATTTATTATTGAATAATTAAAAAATAAATTTGGTATAGCCTAAGTGTACAGTATTTACAGTCTACAGTAGGGTACAGTAATGTCCTAGGCCTTCACCTCTTCTCACTACTCACTGACTCATCTAGAGCAACTTCTAGTCCTACAAGCTACACTCATGGTAAAAGCCCTAGACAGGTGTTCCACTTTTTATCTTTCATACCATATTTTTTACTGTACCTTTTATATGTTTAGAAAGGTTTAAATACAAAAATACCATTCTGTTACAATTACCTACAGTATTCATCCTAGGTGTGTAGTAGGTTATACCATCTAGGTTTGTGCTCACATGATGAAATCATCTAACAATGCATTTCTCAGCACATATCCCCGGTAAGTGATACATGACTGTACTTACAGTTGTGAGGGTGGGTGAAATAAGAAAAGGAAGAGCGTGCAGATAGAAATGAGATCTTCAGGCCAGGAGTTATTGAGGTAAGAACCAACTGAATAGTCTGAGAAGCAGCACTCAGTAAGTTAAGAGGAAAATCAAGAACATGATGTCCTGAAATCCAAGAATGTATTCAAGGAAGGAATGATAACTGTCAAACACTGGAGACGGGTCAAGTTATAGAGAACTGACAATGTATTTAGTAATAAAGAGGAACAAAATGTTTTTTCTAAAAATAGTCACAGCAATATTTCAGGTTGTATTCCCCCATCAAGAGGCAGAGTCTTTTTCCCCTCCCCTTGAAACTGAGTGTGACTTTGTGGCTGTCTTTATAAACAGAATACAATGAAAATGACACCACGTGACTTTCAAGACTAAGTCACAAAAGGCAATATAGCTAACTTCTCGCTTTCTCTTTCTTGGAACATTCAACCTTGCAACCCAGGCACCACGTTATGAGAAAGCCCAAAGTAGCACAAAAGGAAGAGATCACATGAAGTCCATGTGGAAAGGAACTGAGGTTCCCAGACAAAAGCTAGTATCAACTGTCAGACATACACATGATCATTTCTGACAATTAAGCCCCTAGGCTTTGATCTTCTAGCCAAGGCTCCAGATACTGTAGAGCAGAGAAGCTGCCCCTGCTGTATCCTGTCTGCATTTCTAATGCACAAAACCCATGAGCATAATAAATAGTTGTTTTATACCTCTACATTCTGGGGTAATTTATTACAACAATTTTATTGGAGTAAACATACAAAAATGAAGGCCACAGATAACCTTTATAGAAGTAGTTTTAGAAGAATGGCAAGAATAAAAGTCTGATTGGAGTGGATTCAAGAAAGAATGGAAGGCAAGGAATTAAAAATATTAAGTATAAGAAATGTTTTCAAGAGTTTTTTCTCTAGCCAGGCATGGCAGCACATGCCTGTAATCCCAGCTACTCAGGAGGTGAAGTGGGAAGATCCCTTGAGCCCAGTGAACCCAGGAGACTGAGGCTGCAGTGAGCCATGATCACACCACTGCACTCCACCCTGGGTGACAAAGCAAGACCGTAAGACCATACCAAAAACAAAACCAAAACAAAACAAAAAACCACACACACAAATTTTTTTTCTTTAAAGCAAAAGAGAGAAATACGGTTACTAACTGGAGGGAGATATAGGGTTAAAACAGACTTTTTCTTTTTTAAAGATGGGAGAAAATATAGTATCTTTATATGGTACAATACAAGAAAGAAATATTGCTAATATAAAAGAGAAAGGGGAAAAGAAAGAATGGGATCTAGTACATAAGTAGAGGGGTTGGCTTAAGATAAATGGACATGCAGTTCATGCATTTTAATGGGAGGGTCATCAGAATATCAAGAGTGTAGATGTAGGTAGGTAAGTAGACGTGCTGCTAGGAACTTGTAGAAATTCCATGTGGATTGTTTCTCTTTTCTCAGTAAATGGTAACTACAGTCATCAGCTATGAAAGGATGGGAAGAAAGTATTGCAAGTTTAAGGGCACAGGAAAAAGAGATGTATAAAACAGATATATAAAAAGATGGGAGAGGATAAAGTTACAGGATTATTCAGCAGTAGCATTACAGGCTCACCTGAGATTAGTATCATGAGTTTAAAGTAAAACCAGAGCATGGTTGTTATGTTTTCTTTTATGGTGTAGCACCACAGGCACAGACAGGGACAAAGTGAAAGAATGGTCATAGGAATAAGCAGCTAATACGAGAGAGAGAACATAATCACTAGGGAAAAGAAGGTCAAGAAAAAGAGAGGCCAAATTATTGGATCATCTATAAGGATATTAAAATCACTAAGAATGATGATAGTAGTACTGCAAAGGGCAACAGTGAGCCAGGAGCTAAAAATCTTCAAGGAATGAGGGCGAGTAAAACAATCTTGCTAGATGATTCCTGCAAAGAATAGAAGGGGGTTACCAAATCTGGTGGCATAAGATTCAAAACCGGGCAATTTTAAGAAGGTAGACAGTGCAATAAAGAATGAGGATGTCTACCCCACATCGAATGCAAACCAGAATATGCCTCCTCAATATCTTTATTCATATGGAACTTCGGCATTTTATACTGCTTAATCAATAACTTATTAACAAGAAGTTCTAAGGCAAACCTAAATAAATGGAAAGATACATCATATTCATGAACTGAAAGATCCACATTGTAAAGACATTAATTCTCCCCCAAGTTGAGCTACTGAATCTTAACCAAAATCCTGAAAGTTTTTGTTTCTCTTTATGGGACTTGACAAGCAAATTCTAAAACTTACATGGAAGTACAAAGGGTTAAAACTAGCCTAAGCTCCTCATGAAAAATAAGATGGGAGGACATACCCTACACTATTATGGCAATGTAGAATTGGCACAAAAATAGGCAGATCGAGCAACGAACACAATACAAAGCCCTTCTTGACTTTCTAGATTCACATACATATGGACACATGACATATGACAGAGATGACAATGCAAATCAAGGAGAAAAAAATAATCCAAATAGATATGTATTTTATATATAATACTGTTTTTTAATTGTATATTTTAGTCCATATAAATCTTTCCCTTTTATTTTTTTTTTAACAAACTGATCAGTACTTGTGGAGAAAAAAATAAGTCTAAATTCATACCTCAATCTTTACGTCACTCCTCACTCCCTCAAAAAACCCAAAATAGAAATCATAAAAAATAGGAAGAAAACACAGAAACTTTTTAAATCTTAGACTAGGAAACACCTTTCTAAGCAAAACTAAAATCTTTACATAAATTTTTTTTTTTTTAAATTCTTCATGGACAAACATCTCATCAACAAAGTTAAAATTTAAAACCCCCAAACTTAGGAGAAATACTTGTAATATATATGGCAACCCAAGACCTAATTTCCTAATGTATAACGAGTGCCTACAAATTCGTAAGAAGAAACCAAACAACTCACCATTAAAAAAAATTAAAAAAAAAGATTACCAAAAAAGTCAGGATATCAATTACTTTGGAGAAAGAGTGGAAGGGAGAGAAGGGTTGTAGCTGGGATGGGCCAAATGGAGAGATTTCTGAGGTAATTATCAAACTTTTATTTCTTGACTAGCATGATGGTAAGGTGTTCACCTCATAATAATTAGTAAACTTTACATTTATTTTGTGTGGGTTTGTGTCTGCATTTTTACAATAAAAACGTAAACAACAAAACAGTTCAACAGAAACCCGCAAAGGACACGAATGAGGAACTCAAAGAAAAAACAAATATCTTTTAAATACAGAAAAAGTACATTCATAAGCTCATATATAATTTATGAAAATGCAAATTAAACAAGCATTAATTTTCATTCAGAACGGCAATAATGTAAAATTGGTAAGAGATAACACTGGTAAGCATGTGAAATAAGAAGCTTGCACTGTTGGTGGAACAACCACTTTGTATGATAATATCCATCAAAATTCCACATGCATTTCTTTTGACCCAGAAGTTCTATTCCTAGGAATAATCCTAAAGATAGATATGTCTGCGTAAATCTAAACAATTATGGCGCATTACTTAAAGAAAAAAAAACTTTAAAGGTATGAACTTTGCAACCAGACTATATAGGTTTAAATCCCAGTTTTGATAACTTAAAAGCTATGAGACTTGGGCAAGTCACTTAAACTTCCTGTGCATCAGTTTCCTTTCCTATAAAATGAAGATAACATTAAATATTCCCTAGGGTTATGAGAATTAAGTGTGTGTGTGTGTGTGTGTGTATATATATATATATAAGCAATGTAGCTAGCATATAAAGAGCTTTATCAGTGTTTGCTATTAACAATTTGAATGTCAACTAGTAAAAGGCTGAATATCTCACCTGCTATACCCATAAGACATAGTTAAAGTCTACAAAGCCAAAATCAGTCATCATCAATTTTAGAATATTTTTAAGCGAAAAAGTCAAACATAAATATTTCTTTACTGACCACTAAAATATATTATCAATATGCAAAAGTAATGCAAAACTCTGCACATGTGGTGGGGGTGGAGGGTGAGGGATAGATAGTCAACAAATTATCTGGCGTGGCGATTTAATGTGACATTAGAATAAAAACATATAGAAACATTTAATAGTTTGCTCTCTACCACTTGAGGATGCAAGATGTGAGCTGTATGTAACCTGGAAGAGGGTTATCAAAAGAACCAGAAAATGATGGTGCCGAGATCTTGAATCTCCAGCCTCTAGACCTGTGAGAAATAAATTTCAGTTGTTTAATTAAAACACACACACACACACACACTTAAGAGTTTAACTTTTCCCCTTCCCATATTTCGTATCCTTAAACCTATCTTCCTGGAAAGGGAACAAATCAACCTTTTGAGGTCCCCAGTTAAGACTACAATACTTAATCATTTATTGAAGAAAAACAGTATCTCTTTATTTAGGGATAATACTATACTTAAAGAAACTTGCACTATTAATTGGGAAAAGATTAATATACACGAAATAAGCAAAAAAAACCCCACATAATTCTAAAATATATTCATTTATTCAACAAATATGTTAATATATGCCATTGGTCAGACACTGTGTAGGTGAAAAAGTCTTTGTACTCATAGAGCTTCCATTCTCATGCAGACAATATAAATGAATGGATAACTAAACACATGATATGCTTTCAGGTAGTCAGAAGTGCTATGAAATGGTAAAGTATACACCACTGCCTGCAATTACTATCAGAATTCAAGATAGTGAAGGTTAGAGAAACCAACCCGGAATAAAGGAATTAGTCCATAATAATGCTTAATAAATGTTAACTAGCTACATTATTATTATTATCATTATCATCTTCATCCTCATTATTGCCATGGTCTCTGAAAAATGAGTTGTAAACATGAAGGCTAGATTGCTGTAGAGATGCTTTCAAGCATAAACACATAAGACTGGGAGGCATGAACGAACAAGGGAAATTTGTGAGACTGAAAAGAAAGTAGTCTGATGAGAGCAGAGGGCAGAGAAGAAATGAGACTTGCTAGGTAGAATAGTCAAACAATGGGAACCTTTGAAATAAAGAGCCTACTATGGGGGGCAGTTCCTCCCCGTACGTGGTGCCTATCTCAAGGCAAAAGTAGAGAAGAGATTTACCACGAGGATTTTATTGGATTGGTGCAAAAGTAACTGCGGAGAAAAAAAGTGTTTTACGGAGGTCATTTTTGACAAGTTGTATTTGATTTTTTTAAAAAGAGATTAAGATTATAAATTTTATGTTATGTGCTTTTTACCTAATTTTTTAAAAATGAAGAAGACAGATGAGAAGGAGGAGAAAGAGTTCAGATGACTGCCAGGTGATGAAATCCTATACCAGGGAGAAGACAGAAGGGCGACCCGTTCTGCCCTAGGTCATTTGGTTACTTGAAGTAGCTGCTTCTCCCCTCCATCCCCAGAAACGGTAACAAGCACTCACCACCTTCTTCAGAGAGTGTGTGAGAGAATAAACGTCAGGAGACAAAACAGGTCTAGTGCATTTGAAAGGAAACCCGCGAGTTAACCACTTCCTTCTGTCCCCACCCCTCCATCTTTCTCTAGATACTGGCGAGGTTCTGGAGCTGGCGCTGGCGGGCGGGAAGCCGAGAAAAACGGGGCTCAAAGCCGGGTTTGGAAGTCAGGTATGCAGTTCGCCAGTGGTAAGGGTTGCGCCCTCCGGACTGGAGCTCCACAAGCTTCAACCGTTATATCGCCCTCCCCAGCTCAGCTCTTACCATCACAGCGCCACAAACTCCAGGTCGCCTCTGCGCTGCGTAGGCAGCGCTTGCCAGCCTCGGACGTCTGCGCGCGCTGCATGCCCATTGGAGCTGTTCTTTCCCACCCCAGCCAATCCCGAAGTTCGCTCGGACGCTAACAGAAGACTGCGCCGCTGCTTTGGGATTGGTTGCCGTGTTGTGTGTCGCGCTTTTTCTGGCGACGCGAACAACATGGCGGCGGAAAGTGGTAGCGATTTTCAGCAGAGACGGAGAAGGCGTCGGGAGCCGGAGGAATCGGAAAAAACAGAACTCAGCGAAAGAGAGCTGGCAGTAGCAGTGGCGGTGTCCCAGGAGAACGATGAGGAGAACGAAGAGCGCTGGGTTGGGCCTTTACCTGTGGAGGCAACACTGGCCAAGAAGAGGAAAGGTAGCTGCAGACATAGTACCGGACGAATTGGAGTGCTGCATTCGCCGAGTGAGAGGGTTGAGTTCAAGCCAGATCCGAAGAGGGATGGTGTGTGGAGTTTTGTACCCTCAGAACAGAGGGCCGTCCTCACTTCTAGCCACTCCATACTTGCATGTCTTAACGAAATAGTGATTTAAGCGTAGTACAACGTGTTGATTTGTTATGATAGATGCTAAAACTAACATTTTCCTATATTTACGTGTTTGGCTTCTCTCATTTACTCCCCACAGCAGCCACATGAAGTTGGAATTTTGAACTCTTATTTAGATATGGAAAAGGGTACTAGTTCTCTTTAAGGCTTTTAGTTCAGGCGTGGTGTTAATGCGTTAATGTTGGGGCGCGAGAGGAAGGCGGTGCTTGTTTCGAATCATGGTAGGTAAAGATAATTTCAACTCTGACACTTCCACTAATAAATTTTCGTATCTAGGGAAAGTCACGTAAGCTTCCTAGATCACAGATTTGTTTTCATCCAAAACCCGAAGTCTGTGGTTTTGAAATCATACTCTTGGTACGATGGGCTGAAGCATTTTGTCACTAACGGGGAATAATCACAAATTATTATCAAATAAAAGGGGTAGGAAAAGGAGTAGGTTAAGTTTTCTATGTTGTTTTCTTGTCTTGTTTTTCTGTGAAATGTTTTCCTTAAGTATTTAGGACATTTTAAATGTGGTCTAAGCTCAAATCGTACTTTAGCACTTTCCCTTAAAATTCTTCAATGATTTCTCATTATTTTCTCCTTTTTTTTTTTTTTTTTTTTTTGTGTCGCCCAGGCTGGAGTGCAGTGACGCTATCTCGGCTCACCGCAACCTTCAAGCGATTCTCCTGCCTCAGCCTCCCGAGTAGCTGGGAGGACAGTCGCACGCCCCTACGCCCCAGCTAGTTTTTGTATTTTTAGTAGAGACGGGTTTTCATCATGCTGGCCAGGACGGTCTTGATCTCTTGACCTCTTAATCTGCGCTCCTCGGCCTCTCGAAGTGCTGGGATTACAGGCGTGGGCCACCGGCGCCCGGCTCATTATTTTCATTAAAGTCCAAACTCCCTCACATGGTATATAAAGCCCTTTATGATGTGATCTCTCCTTACCTTCTTAGTGCATCTTCCATTATCCTCCTCTTCCAACCCCTTACTTTGTACTCCAGCCATTCTAAAATCACTCGAGAATGGGTCATGTACTCTTTTTCCTCTGGATTCCTACCCAGATATGGTGTCTCTACCGGGAATAATTTCCCTCACCCCTTCCACTGAACTGACTTTTGGTCAACCTTTAGCACTTAGCTATCATCTTCTCTGGGAAGCCTGTGACTTCTCCAATCTGGACTGGATTTCTAAAGTACTTTGATCATGATTCTGAGGTAGTTATCTACACTGAATTTATAGGTAGCCTTCAAATTTTATGTATACAAATTTTGAAGAAGCTGTTTTTTTGAACCTTGTATATCCACGCCCTTACAGTGCATTATCATTTTTACTTCCTGGTCCTCTTATTAAATGTTTCCATGCTAACCATTTCATTTATGGCACTTGCCGCATTTTCTACTTACATATTTATTCATGTGATTGATGAGTGTTTCTCTCCACTGCTAGGACTGTAAGCAAGTAACCAGGATCCCGCCTTTTTTGTTCATTGCTTGGTGTACAGTGTTTTGCCTAAGTATTTATTTAATGAATGAATATTAAAGCGTTTATGCTGGTCTTTAACTATTTTGTTGCATATGAATATTTTTGCAAGTTCTCCTTTAATTAAACGAGTAAGGAGAAGTGTAAAAATCCAGAAATATCGAAATGCTGATATTAGTGTTACCAGACAAGTGACTTATAAACTTAATATAACTGAGACATATAAATTAGTAGGTGTGAAAATCTTTAATCAGTTGTTTATTGTTTTAAGACAGCCGATAGTTGGCAGGGTGCGGTGGCTGACGCCTGTAGTCCTAGCACTTTGGGAGGCTGAGGCGGGCAGATCATCAGGTCAGGAGTTCGAGACCAGCCTGACCAACATGGTGAAACCCCCGTCTCTTCTAAAAATACAAAAAAATTAACTGGACATGGTGGCGCACGCCTATAATCCCAGCTATTCAGGAGGCTGAGGCAGGAGAATCGCTTGAACCCGGGAGGCAGAGGTTGCAGTGAGCCAAGATTGCTCCACTGTACTTCAGCATGGGCAAGAGAGCAAGACTCCGTCTCAAAAAAAAAAAAAAAAAAAGACTGCCAATAGTGTATTCAGTTTGAAGAAAAAAATTGAAACTAAAAAACATACATGGAATGTGACAAAAATATTTAAAATTTTGTCTAAATGGACAAGTGTTTAACAATTTCAGCTTTCTAGAAATGGAGTCACCCCCTTTAACATGTTCTTTGGACATTGGACTGTTGTATATATTTTCAGAAAGACATGATTATATGACACTGATCTTTAAACTGCCTCTTCAGGACAGGAACTGTGTTTTACTCTTCTTTATGCCCATGTGACTTAGAACACATTTTGTTCTTAATAAGTATTTGTCCACAAATGAACTATCACACAGAAAAAGGAATCTGAATCAGATAGGATTAACTTTATCTACATATTACAGAAAAACCCAAAATAACAATGACGTTGAAGAGATAGTGCTTTACTTCTTTTATGTGTAGAAGTACCAAGACAGGCAGTCCAGGATTGGTGTGGACGCTCCAGAAGTTCCTAGGCTCTCCCCAGCTTTCTGCCCTAACATAACGAAGGTACAGCCCTCATCTTTATTTCTCTGAATGATTAAGATTACAGCAGTCATATCGCAGTTCCAAGGTATAGGATTGAGGAAAGCAAGAAGGGCACATTTTTTCAAGACTTCCTGTGACAAAACATTTCCACTTTTACTCATTAGCATATGGTTAAACCTCACTCCAGGGGAAAGTGAGAAAGGTCATGTTATAGCTGGACATCAGTATGCCCATATATAAATGGGGGTTCTGTTCCCAAAAATGAAGGGAAAAGTAGTTTATCAGACACAAGCCTGAAACAGCTCATCATGTTTAATTTAGCAACTTTTAGACACGTTTGGCCATCGTTGGGTTATTTTATTTGGGATACATATAATTCTCCCCTCCCCTACCCTCCTTCTCTGCTTCCTTCCCTTCCTTTTCTTCCTCCCTCTCTCCCTCCCTCCCTTCCTCTTTCTTTCCCACCCTTCTTCTTTCCTTCCTTCCTTCCCTCCCTCATTCCCTCCGTCCCTTCCTTTCTTTTTTTTTTTTTTTGCTAGTAAAAGTGTTCATACCTCATATAGTAAATCAGTATTTCCTGACATTCCTCAGATTACTACTCTTTCAGGTGGATTTTTTCCAGGTTTTGCCCTTGGAAAAAATTTGAGATACATTCAACTGGATACCCCCTAGGATGTTCTCAGGCGTAAATATCTAAGAATTGTACCATGTTTAAATGTTTCAAACACAGTGTCAGTAACTTCAAAGAGAATCAGTGCTTTAAATATTAACTGAGACAAATTACAGATGGCCACTGGACTCTTTTAACTGTCTCGCTCCCAAAGTGCTGGATTACAGGCGTGAAGCCACCGGCCGGCCTTTTCTTTTTAATAGAAACATTTCACATTAAGCCAGAACCCAATCATTTCTTAAAGTCCTGGGGACAGTTTAGCATGTATATAATACATGGGAACCGTTACCTCACTAAATATGGTGCTATTCAGTGCTCTGAAAATATAGACGTTAAAACTGGACAATAAAACAGGAATTTTTAAAATTGGTGAATTGAGAAAAAATTAAAAATCTAAGGAGAAAATACTTAAGTAGAGTGAGAACAATTAAATAAAATACAACGATAGTATTGGTTTATTTGTTAAATATATTCCTATACTTTACTTTTTTTTCTCAAGTCTTAGAGTTTGAAAGGTCTATCTTATTAATTCCCCAGTGCTCCTAGTATGAGGCGCAGTTACATGCATAGAAGGATGTATCACCATGTGGAATGCACCAAGTAAGTCTATCACACATTTTTTTACTTTGTTCTGAGAAGTTTATTAA